TAGTACTTACTATTTCCTACCAATAATTAAAGACTTCTTAGTATAGAATTAGTGCTAATATCATGAAATTAGAAACCAATCCAATGCTCACAATGTGTTGCTCCCAATTAGGAAATTAGACACTTTTAGATACTATTAACACTTTTAGATACTTTTAGACACTATTAGATATAATTCGGAGCTAATATAAGGGGGTGTTTTTCCAGATGTTAGTTGAAGTGCTTTGGCCAGTTCTTTGGTATGTCTTCTGGTTTGACATTGGTGTATTTGTCTTTACTGAGTTCCAGGCTGCACAAGTGTTTTAGGTGGCCTAGGAGTATTTTATTTGTTCCTTCTACAAGACCGTTGATCCAGGCAGAGTACGCTGCTATTACCTCATGTTTGATACCTCTTTCTTTGCAGAATGCCGCAACTTTGTTGTTCTTGAAGTGTGAGCCTCCGTCCATCATAAACATGTTGGGTTTGGTCTAGCCTGTGGTGATGGTGGCAAGTCCAGATATGGTGGTTTTTGCTATGCCATGCATTTTGTGCTTGAACCCCCAGATGCATTGCGAGTATGTGTCAAGGTACAGGCCAACTGTGTGGAAGCTGTTTGTACCTTTTGGAAGGGATAGATAATCTGCAACGAGCAATTTGAAGGGGTGACGGCAGGTGTTATGATCACGTTCTATCGGGCCTACACGGCGGTCTATACCGATACGATCATCACAAATATCACGCGGCCTCACAGGTTGAGGCGTACACCAAGGTACAGATATTAACCTTGGTCATCCACTCCCAACGGATCACCTTATCGTTGGTCGAGTATCACGGGCCTATTGTATTAGCGGGCATGGAACGCCGCCTTATAAATTACTCACACGCAGGGCATGAACCTCCTAGTCTTTCCTGGCCGGAAGGAGACCAACGGAGAAGCACAAGAGTAGTCGTTATTGAGAGAGACGACTTAGAGAATACCTACAGATACATATTCGGTATTCTCACGCCCTACTTCCTAAAGTAGTATAAAAGGCCCATAGAATAGGCTGAGGATCTTCAGTCTATTCTCTTCGTTCTCCTGTATCTTCACATACAGGAATCTTCGTTCTGGTACTGTCTTCCTACAGTACCCTTCGTTCACTGTAGTCTTCCTGCTACAGTCTTCATTGCTATAACGCAATACACTTCTGGCTCCTGTGCTACACGTACAGTCGAGACCACCGTTCCACACATCCTCCACGAGTGACCTAGGGAAGAACCTCCTACTCTTGGGGTTACCGACGAGCAGTCGTAACACTAGAATAGACTCTTCTGCCCCTACCTTGCTCGCACTAGCTTGCTGCCACACTCTCTCTCATAACCTTGCTCAGTGGGGATATAGACCCCCATTGAGAAAGCGTTACTGCACACACTCTGGAGCAAGACCTAGGCCAGGAATACCCACCCGGCACTAGACTTATCAATAACCAACTCCGTCACAACAATCGCCCTATCCGGCGCGAAGGGGACTTCTGGGTCTACGAAGACAATAACGGAACTGCCCCTCCGAATTACGATAACTGCTCATACCGAAACGGGCGTTATTACTTCACACTTGAAGACGGAACAGAAGAAGAGGATATTTGGAACGAGACAGAAGCTCAGTGGGAACTAGCCCCACAATACAGGGAACCGGCGCCGGTAATCCCCGAAGACTCGGAGCAAGAGGAAACAACCTCGGAATCAGACTCCGACTCACCAGACCAAACACCGATCAACACCCGAAACGAACCACTCGCCGAAATGTCGGGACAAGCTTCGACTTCTACAAACACCCCTTCCGCGACAGTACAACCCGGAAGAGGAAAAGTCAAACTCCCAGACAATTACACAGGCAACCGCATTGAATCCCAGAAATTCATGCTCCAATGCCTCCTTCTTTTCGCAGCAGAATCCGATCGGTACAAGACCGATCAAGACAAGATATCCCTTGTGCTCTCATGCATGAGATACGGCACGGCGGGAGCTTGGGCGGAGAACTTCCTCCTCAAATCAGTAGGAGCAGACCCACCTACCGATCTAGGCACCTGGAAGGACTTTTTAGCCAAGTTCAAATTACAGTTCAGGGAGACGGGCAAAACCGACAAAGCGCGAAGCGCACTCATGGCCTTCTCCCAAGGACGAATGACGGTTGATGAATACTCCAACCAATTCATTCTCATTGCCGCCGATGCCGACATCTCCGATAAAGAGCAGGTCCCTTACTTCCAACGCGGGTTAGACCCGCGCGTCATGGACAAAATATATGACAAGGAAGTTCAGCCAAAGGATACTATTCAGGACTGGATCAATACAGCCTGCGAAATAGATGGACGACTGCGAGCCAGAACCGCTCAAAAGGCCATCCTCGCCAACTCCACCTCCTTTCGAAGCGATTATCTGAATCGTTTCCATAACCAAATCTCTCCCCGCTACAATTCCACAAACGCCCCTCGAAGAATGAATAACCAGGTGGTAGACATGGACATCGACGCCACCAGGAAGCGTAATGCCGAAAGTCAAAAGAGAAAGTTTGACGGCAAGCAACCAAAATGTTATAACTGCGGGCGCAGGGGACATTATAGCGCTGACTGCCGATCCGCTCGTAGAGGCGTTCCACCAGTTCGAGGAAACTCGAAAAGACGCTTGGGTACGACAGGGAGAGGAAACCGCGCGGTTGATTTGGAGGGAGAAGACGACGCACCCGCTATGGGAAACCAAGCGGGAATATATCGAGGAATGGAGACAGAGGATGTTCATCGCAACAACCAGCGGGTACCACAACCTGGTCCTTCGATGGAACGTCCTCACTCTACCCCATCCGGACGACCCCAGACGAACCATGGGCAGCGCACTATGCTACCTAACGGACGACGGGGAGACGGAGGCGTCAGTCATTCTGCTCGAATCGGAGCAGTACTCGGAGAATTAGGAGAAGATGAAGCCAGAGAAGTAATCTTGGGACACGCGGAGCGTTTTTCCTGACCTCTCCCTCACCAGCGAAGGAGAGAGGTCAAGAACGACCCGAGTTTGATGCCCGCACTTGTATTCGTATCGGAGCAATGAACGACCGTATCATCACCCCCATACGCCTGAACGTGAAAGTATCAAACAGGAGTCAAAACGCTGGAGCAAAAGCAACCATCGACTCGGCCTGCGAAGGGGTTATAGTAAACGAAACTTGGGTCAAGAGACATCGTTTCCCCACCTATACACTCAACAACCCCATTCGCGTCCGGAACGTCGATGACACCATTAACAAAGCAGGTCTCATCCGATCCGCCTTGGACGTGAACCTCACCATTCGGGACATCAGTGGACGAACGCATACCGAGCGCGTCCAGATGTTTATCTCCAATCTAGGGAAAGACGACCTTATCCTGGGAACAGATTGGTTGAAATACCACGATCCCTCCATCGAATGGAGGCGACGTGAAGTGCACTTTGATCGGTGCCCCCAGAAATGCCAACAACCATATGGGTTCACTAGGGCAAGGGAAGAACCGCCATACAGTAGGCGGTTATCAGACGTGGAGCCACGGCACAAACCACGCATCAATGAGCGCGAAAAACAGCGCCTCGAACATCTCCGAAGACTATCGGAAGATGTAGGACTCCGCGATCACAGCGGAACGTTTGGTGTCCGACTACGAGCATACCTCAAAAGGAAATGGCTCCTAAAGGACATAAGGAAATACGCAGAAGAGAAACGAAAGGCACAAGACAAGCCATCTCTTTCACCAAACGAGGGAGAACCTGATCTCCCAGACAAACCCTCAGGAAAACAGGCCACCCGGGACCCAGTTATTCGGAAACTGGCCCCCGAACCGTCAGGATTTGCCAGCTTCGACCAAGACCTGGAAGACGAAATCATCGTCACCAATCTAAAGGAAAGAGTTCCCAAGGCGCATCACGAATTTTTGGACATCTTCAGCGAACGAAAGTCGCAGCGACTCCCAGAACACACTTACTGGGATCACGCCATTGACTTAAAACCAACCTTCAAACCTCAAGTGCCCAAAATCTACGCCCTGAGCCCAGAAAAACACGATGAATTAGGAAAATTCATCAAGGAACATCTGGAGAGAGGAACCATCCGTCGATCCACCTCGCAAACAGCAGCCCCATTTTTCTTTATAGGAAAAAAGGATGGAAAACTACGCCCGGTACAGGACTATCGCCACTTAAATTCGCACACCATCCCGAATGTGTGCCCCCTTCCACTAATCCAGGAACTACTGGATGTGATAAAAGGGGCCATCATTTTCAGCAAATTGGACGTGCGATGGGGATACAACAATATACGCATCAAAGAAGGAGATGAGTGGAAGGCGAGCTTCATCACTCCGTTAGGTTCTTACGAACCCACGGTGATGTTTTTCGGCCTGACCAACTCACCAGCCACCTTCCAAGCTATGATGAACATGATCTTCAGAGAGCTCATCACAGCCCGGAAGATAACCGTATATATGGACGACATCCTCGTCTTCTCCAAAACCATGGCGGAACACGTCAAAATCCTAAACCAGGTTTTCCAAATCCTACGCGACAACGATCTATATTTGAAACCCGAAAAATGCGAGTTTTACAAGGAAAAGCTCCAATACCTGGGATATACAATTTCAAAAGACCATGTCGCCATGGAGGACTCAAAGGTGGACGCAATAAAAGATTGGCCAATCCCACGAACAGTCCGCGACATTCGCTCCTTCCTGGGTCTAGGGAATTTTTACAGGCGCTTTATTGACAAGTTCTCACTCATCGCGCGCCCCCTACACGACCTCACCAAAAAGGACGAGAAATGGAACTGGACTACAAAATGCCAAGAAGCTTTCGAACGATTAAAGAAAGCTTTTATCAGTAAACCTGTCTTGAACTATCCAGATCCCATGCACCCATATCGACTAGTAACTGACGCATCACTAATCGCCTATGGAGCTACCCTTCTACAAGAAGGAAAAGATGGTGACTGGCACCCAGTCGCTTTCCTCTCTGGATCGTTTTCACCAGCAGAGCGAAATTACAACGTTCACGACCGGGAACTCTTGGCTATAATCAAAGCGTTGGAACATTGGAATCACTACCTCGAAGGCGCACGACACCCCTTCGAGATTTGGACAGATCATAAAAACCTGGAACACTTCCAAACGGCGCGATGATACGCTAGAGGTGGCTCTAAGTGCCGAGCACAACACTAAAACAACCTCTAATGCAGGGGGTGCTGGAGCTAGTTTCTGTTACACAAGGAATCGTTAGTGATGACTTTAGAAATCGACGGCGCACTTGAGAAGCAGCGAGGAGTGGAGATTATAGCGCCCGAACGGTTTCGGGACTGCACCGAACACCGACCGAACGTTCGGTCGGTCGTGTCGGCGATTCGGTCGGTAACGAGGAGGTAGTGTCGCGACCGACAACTACGTGCTTCAAGAGCCACACGGGACTCTGACAATATACGAGGAAGGACGAGGGGTACGAGCGAAGAGACGAGTACGAACGCGAACAAGGCCGAACGACGAAGATGACAAGTTTTCGGGAGTCGATGAAGACGATTTCGATGGTTGAGACGAGTGCGAATGAGCTCTGAACTGTGGGGTGCGAAAGCTGGTTTATTCCAGAGTTGTATGTAGGTTTTTATAGTAAACAGCGCCCCTAAGTAAAATATCGAACCTGAAATGAGAGTAGATGTCGAATGGGCGCCAAGCCTTAGCGATCAGAGAAGATAAGGAGGTAGGTGAGATGTCCATATGGGTTCCGAAGGTGATAAGGTAAAAGGTAATCAGTGATGTCGAAATCCCGAACGTTCGGGATCCGTCGCCCGAGTGTAGGTAGCAGGAACAGGCGTTGGAGAACCAATGAAAAATAAAGAAGAGGTATCGTACGACCAGGGTGGCCAAGCAATGGTGTAAGATCGTGTTTGACCGACCATGCGGAAGTCGGGACGATAAGCGATAAGGACCGACCGACTCACGGAGGACATCGGCCGATACGGAATACTGGCTCCGATCTCGTACACACCTATCGTAACCCTCCTGTGCGGTCATGGTAAGTACGTGAAGTGTGGGCGAACTGACCCAAGTGCTGCCGAATCGTCCTTCGGTGGCTTGTCGTCGGTCGGGTAGGGACCGACCGTGTTCGGTAAAAGTCGGCGACTTCGGTACTTGTCTAGCACTGTTCG